AAGTGTGTATCTCAAAAACTCAAAAAGATACGAGGCTGTGAATTTGAAAAAGTTTGAAAATTTCCCGATTTTCTTAAAATGACGCGTTATATGAGGGCAACGTAAAACCAGAATTACAAAATTCGGGCACGAATGCATAGAGCACAAAATTCCAAAGAGAATGACACCGAAAACGCCGGGCCCGGACCCAAAACCAACGCGCAGTAATGCCGCGAATATTGGCAACGTAAATTTTGTTTAATTTCAATATACTATACACGATTGACGTTTTCACGAAAATAACTGCGGCAGTGTCCGACACTGCCTATCAATTTCTTTTTGTTTACTTCATTATTTTTCACAGACACTGGGATTCAAATCATGGATGTCTATCTGCGTCTTTATGTGTCCTGCTGTCCTGTATAATAGGTTGGAGCTTTGCGAGGGGCTGATCACTCGTCCAAGCAGTTCTACCAATGTCTAAGATCGATCAAGAAACCTCCCATAGGGGAGAAGACCAAGGGCTGTAGAGCCAAGGACATGCATTAATTCTTCGTTTATTTAACAACGCTATCAATTGTTCGAAAAATACAGCGTGATTTGTGAATAATAAATTGGAAAAGAAGCGGTCGTGGTCGAATTTAAATATGTGGTGGTGGCAGCATCGACAGCCAACGCAACAACAAAAAAGAGCTTCATAAACTGCCAACATAACAGCTGTGCAAAACCCCCACACAGAAACTACAGACGACATAAAACGTAAGCCAGCACCCACTAACGCTGGATTTCATGGGATATTAACACAGACTACAGAGGGATTTGGTACGCCATTTGCCTTGTGAAGTGCATTCAATGAAAGACTAAGAGGATAACAGGTGTACTTATGGTGAATTGCCAAGGATGGAAAAGCAGCTTCTGAGCTTTATTAGGCTACCTGGAGTGACTAAGGTAAAGTACGAACAACCTTGGTCAACAGAGTCTATCTCCCAGCCAGCATCAAAACAGGGACCTCCAAATACAAAGATGGAATGGTAACTACAAAATGTCATGGAAGAAAGTACTGTGGTCAATTTTAAGGCAATGGCCTTCAGCTTACGGAGAAACTGGGTAAAATCTCAATCAGAATAACGGATACAACGCTGAACCATCCGAAAACAAATTAATCACGTCGGGTATTGCAGGCAAAACTTTATTATTATTTATTTAGTGTTCTGTCTGACGACAGGTCCATATGAACAGGATCCTTCCATCCTTTTCTCGGACTGGGACCTGTTCATATACGTTCTTGGCAGATGATCCAGAAGTGGTTTGCCATTGCCTTCTCCTGTGTGTGAATGGAGTAATTGTTGGGATGCCACGGAGAAACCGGGGAAGCCCCCGAAGGAAAACTCCGTGTTGCCTAGACCACGGCCTTACCCAACACAAGTTATAAATTCGGGCACCGCCGGGAATCGAACCCGTGACCCCAGCATTACAGAACCAGCGTTCTAACCGCTAGACCACAGTGGCAGTCAGGCAGAACTACAGTACAGAACGTATGTCGGACACATGTGCTTCTAGTACAAATAGAATGTATGTCATGTCTCAATACATTGTATGCCTTGATGGGTCTCATAAGAAGCTACATCGAACCTCATCAGTTTCTGAGTCATCGGTTAAGATATCACAATAATGTTCTTCCGGAATGTGATATGGACTCACACGCATGTTTCTCCGAAATGTCTTTATCTTCCTAAAAGTCCACACGGTGTCACAACGCAACAGTACAAAACAACACCGACATCTCAAACACAGTTCGCAATTTAAACATTATACGAAGAAATAAAATATTAATTTCCGTCGGAGTGTAATTTCCCTGCAGACCTCCAGTACCTTCCGTTCTCAAGTCATCAACAAGTAGGGCACGTGTACCAATTCAGAGAGATTTTCACTGCGCAGTTCCCGCGTCAAATTGCACTTCATGCGCAGGTGGACATACAACAGCCCATGCAGATAGAAAAGCGACGTTAAATAAACTGATAACAACGCACAAAGGTGTAGAGTAGCCGAAAATTTACCTACCAAGTTCAAACTAAATCTTCTCTGCAACGAGTAATCGTAATTTAAAAAAAAAAACTTTTTTGGGGCACACTACAATGAGCAAGACATTTGTTTTCGTTCGATTCTGTAGATACCAAAAAATGGAGATCGTTCCAGATAAAGTTTGGCGTCGAAGATGGACCGGACAGACACATAATTTGAAACGTCAAAAAATTTCGCAAGACAGTGTCTATAAACGACCTTACACGCTTATTTGAATGGTATTTTAATGAGATTTTATGACTCGTCTGTCGTTCAGGTGAAATAAAGCATTAAACTTGGTAGGTACATTTCGGGGCACTCTGTGGTAAAAATATCGTAATCATCACCAGCATTATTTTTTGCGAGCCATTTTACAATCTATATCGTACGGAAACCTATGATTAGTGAGATTTATGGTTCTCATGCAAGCGAGTATGAACACTGTCCTCTGGGATGTTACACCGTGTAGTCTGGTTTAAGTTCACCGACGTTTCATAGGAGCTTAATGCCTCCATCATCGGGGCGATTATCGTAGTAAGCACCTCTGAAACGTCCGTCAACTACCAGACTACACAACGCAACATCCTAGAAGACTGCTATCTTCTAGCCTGTGGTTATTTGTTGAATTCGTAGTTCGAATTAATCAAATACGATACTTTATACAATCATGCACAAAACATCTTCATTCTATCAGTAAACAGGACACTTGTACTTACTTCAAACGAGGTTAATCCAAATAGAGCACTGCACTCAGCGTATCGTCTTTATTGGCATCTCTTACTTGTCACTGGAAGTGTTCACCAACAGAATCACCTGTTTAAAACAGCATCACAGGTCGTTCAGATTTTAAAAGGGATTTTAAAACCAGCAGCATGAACGCCACATGTCCATAAATTCACACGTGCCCAGAGAAATGTCACTACATGCAAAACGAAAGGTTTTCACCAGTTACGAACAGTTATTTTCACTACGTATTCCACATACGTAACAAGGTTTTTAATTTTAAAATCAACACGCAGAAAATTTCACAATGTCACACAGTGTTTGAAACCACCTCCTACACAACGAAGCATGGAACAGCACCAAAGCGTACAAAAGACGAGACACAACAAACACCTACTGCTCACAGCTTACGAGCACGTCCACAACATAAAAAAAAACTTTACTACACCGCCAGAAGGCGCGCGCGCAGCAGAGTGAAAGGTCACTCCGGCGCTGCCAACATAAGAGATTAAAACGAGGCCCTGCACGTCACATATGACAGTTCGAACACCGACTGCATGACAATTCACCAATGTTCTGAATTTTTAGGTTTTTATTAAACTTCGTTTGCTTGAAAACATTACATAGATCGCGCATTCTTACTGCTAATAAACCTAGTAAAAACAAGCTGCTTTTTTCCCTGACTTTTGAATACATGTGATGGTATGAGTTCAGACTTCAACAAAGAATATAGAGCGCTTATACATTGAAGATGGAGGTTATACGTTCCTCCGAAACGTCGGTAGCTACCCATAATACTACACGGCATCGTAACACCGAAGATAAGAGCTCATCTCACCGCCAAAAAACGTGTAATTGCCTTTCCTTTACGTTTTTTTAAAACAGGTAGATGTTGTTGTTTCAAACTCCAGCACGGACTGTGATTGTTTCCACATCATTGCGACATTGTATGTTTCCTGTCTTCTTGAGAATCACCATCAATTGCAAATATCCATTTTACATTATGTTTCACAGCTGCATCCAAGAAGAAATGAAAAAGAAAAGCATAGATTGGTTATATAACAAAGACAAGTAGCCTATCATAAAGACGAATCTCAGTGTAGACAAGAATTCTTATTACTTCTGCCTTAGTCCATTTGAATGTGCTGTATCAACTGCATACGTTGGTATACAAGAAGTTAACTAATAGATTATGCAACACAAAATCCAGAAGAAAAATCATATTACAACAATTTTACACCCATAAAAATTCCGAGAAGTGCATTGTAGGTTAGAACAACATGAATTACGGTTATTAATATTTCTGTGTTTTGTTTCTATTTTTTTAAAAAAAAACTCCACATCAACAGTTATTATTTCATTAGAAATTAAAATCTAAATAATTATTATGGTTGGCCTTAAAACTGAAATTCGGGCCAAATTACATAATACTGTGTCAATAAGTCTTTTAAAATTGTTTCTAGGTTAGGTAGCTAGCAAGTGGGTCAGCCAGTCGTAGATGGTTGGTTACGTAGCTCAGACACAAACAGACTGAAGTCACAGCCTTGCAAACACTGTCAGATGGGAGTCGGTAGAGAATCGAACAGCTTCTGTCTATCGGATGGAACGTCCCTGAAAATCTTCACTCGCACAAAGACAGCCATGTGAAGTACAAGGTTCCTTTGTTTGTCGAAATTGCGCGTTGCTTTTATGTATATTGTAATAACAAGATTTGAAAGCATACTCTTTGTAATACCCTGAACTTCCATATTAGTT